CAGATCGACAAGATTGGTATGCGTTGATGAAAGTACTGAAGGAAAAAGATGCTAGCGATGTTGAGATGCTCACCTATGGTATGACAATGATCAATAAAACTTTGAATGGAGTTGCAGATCAGGTGCTGCTTAATGGTTGCTGCTTGATCATTGCTTCTGGAGACAGCAGTAGATAACACTGACAAACCGTTGGAGAATTACACATAATGATATCTATTCTAAACATAACTGTTGTTCTTGCAGGATACTTATTACGATATTGTTGACGCATTAGAATCGCAAGGACTTGAAGATGCTATGAAAGATATGGTTCGACTTGGTCACAAAGAGCTTAGTGATCAATGCCGACTTTATGAACGGGTTTTGAAGCAAGAAGATGAAGCGGGCAGTAATGAAGAATCAAATTTAGTTAAAATGAGGTCAGGCTTTTGAACTATTCAAACTACAATTTTGAGTACCTGGTTCTTTTCCCAGTTAACCAAATTAATGTAATATTTTTTTTAGAAATCGTGGTAGTACTCAAAATCGCTTTGACAGCTATCAAAATGACCGAAGAGAGCAAATGCGAAAGAGGCATGAAGAGCATTTGCAACAGCAACTTAATCTTCAAAAGAATCGGGTTTTCAACAATGTTGAGAAGTTTGAAGCGTAAGTGTAATTATAAAAGAAATTTGACAAATCTTTAATAATTATACGTAACTCTCAATAACCTTTTTAAAATTTTCAGACCTCTGACAAATGGTACTGCTGAAGCTGCAAAAATTGTACCGCCGTGGAGAAGGAAAGCGTCAGAAGAAGCTGTAGCTCCAATACAAGAGGTCGATATTTTTGCAGTTGAGCGGATTACAGAAATTTGTCTAAGTTCCGTCTATAAACGTAGTACACAAAATTAAAAAATGGCTTATTCGAGTTCATGGTAAGATTTATACTGTTAACTGTATTCTTTTTTAGCCTGCAGCCCCACAAAAAGCAGCAGAACCCGTACCTATCAACGCCACCAACGAGGAGAAAAAGCCTATTTCCCTTACTGATCAAAACGAGGAGGAGAATAATGAAAATGTCGAACCTGAAAAGCCTGTATGTTTATAAACAAATAAAAATTACTAATGCTTGCAGTAATGGATTAGATATATGGTTATTCATTCTTATTTAAACTCTATACTGTCGCTAAGTCTAGGTTCGAGCTCCTCCACCGTCGTTTCCATCATTGTTTTCTCCAACTGAGAAAAAGACCATGGAAATTCCTGAAGTCAAACAGGCACCTAAAGAACCGGAGCCACCAAAACCTCAGCCTGCTGTACCTAAACAGAAGGCAAGAAGTTTTTATTAATTAAGCAAGCAGAAAATGAAAAAACAACAATAAGTTTTTTCGCACAACTGGAACGGATTTCTACCAAGTTTATTTATTTTAAAGCCATCAGACTGCTGTCACCACTTTTTTAACAAAAAATTTTGAGAAATGCTAAGGAAATAGAGGATTTTTAGACGGTAGAAGAAGACGAGGAAGAGTGTCCGAACAATTTTGCTGCTCAGTTGAGACGTCGCGCAGCGAAGCACCAACAAAATGCTGCGTCGTTTGAACCAAAGTTAAGTGAGGCGGAAACCCAGTGGAAGAAGGTGTGTATATTATTCCTTTGCAATAAACATTTTCTTTTGAAGGACATAACTGGATTTAATACTTTCTCAAATTTGTAATATTTATTCTATTTATTCTGTAGTTTTCTATTTTAAAAATTTTATTAAACATTGGAGAGAAAGGATTTTTGTGCTTTTTCTACATTTGCTTATTCAGTCTAGCTTTAACTGACTTTAGGCTGCAGAAAGTTTCAAGTCGAAACCACTAATTATTAATGATTTGGACTTTTCGGAGTTTCACAAGGACGAGTTCGAACAGGATCCTTTAGTAATGGCTAGACTTGCTGTTATAGCTCAAGAAAAGGGACTGCTTCCTGGCAGTTCCGGTGCTCCACCAAGACGTGAGTTTAAATGAAATATAACTGAATAACTGCTACTGTAAGTAGGCAGAATAATTTGTGATAAAAAACTGACTGTGGAATACGGTAATTAGCTATACTTTTTAATTTTGCTATTGATTAGCCGCTGCAATTAAACTGTCTTGCATGAAAAAAAGCTCTCAAGGTGATGAACTGCAACTGTCGCTTTAGCTCCACCAGCGTTTCTTGGTGCTGTACCTCCAGCACCTCCTCCGTTACCTGGAATGGTAGGTGGTGCTCCGCCTCCGCCGCCGTTGTTGAATCCACAAGCGCAGAATCAAAGAAGCGATTCCAGTTTTGGTGAGCTGGCTTTAAAAATCTGCTTTTATTCTTAGTTTTTAATTTCAGAGCATAGTTTTCTCGTTACTTTTGGACTTTAGCTTCTTCAGCAAAAACGAGTACGCTGAAACTTCACTGGAAACCAGCGCAAGCTGAACCGCCGCCGGTACCCGTGCTCAAAAATAAGGGAACATTTTGGCATAAATTGGATTTGCCTCCAATAGATACACGCAAACTTGCTCAACTTTTTGAACAAAAAACCAAAACTGCAGCTCCACAGGTCAGTTTGAATTGAGAAAGTTTGGCTGCTCTTTATGGCCAAAATTTTGGACTTCAGTCTAAGAAAATTATGTGATGGAAAAGGAACTAACCAACCTTTGTTTAAGAAACAAGGCAACGAACATAAACCACAGGTGCTCCAAGTGCTTTCGTTGAAACGATCTCAGGCTATAAATATTGGGTTAACAAAACTACCACCTATTAGTGTTATTCCAGCAGCTATCATGGTTTGTTGATGCTTTTTTGGATTTTAATATTTGCTCAAGAACTGCTTGATTCGTGTGTTCTTTGTTTAATCGCAGCACTGGTAGGTTTCTACCTATCATTGTCTTAATGTGATTTTTCACTGTGTTATGCATTTAGATTACGTAGTGATTAACGGTATTATATCTGTGAACTGTCCTTAACTATTTTATCAGATACTTCAAAAGTTTCAGCTTTTTTGTGGTTTTTAAAAGGTTCTAACTAATATTCTCAAAAGAATTAATTTTTGCAAAGTAGATAATATTATTAAAAAATATCTTTTTTGTTTTTTTTGCTTTATTTTACCAATTTTTGATTCTGGCGTTAATTTTGGGACTTACTTTTTTCTAGTATGGTCAAAAAATTTTTTAGTGGCAGTTTTTATTTTATCTAGAAAGCAAATTAGTTGCAAAAAAAGTCAAGGGAAAAAGGAAGCGGTACTGTCAATGGGTTCAGAGCGAGCGGCAGGATATTGTAGAAATTGTTATACAAGGTCTCCGAATGGAGTAAATTGCATAAAGATGATGTATTTTAAGAAAACGAGTAGAGTGTAAATAACAAGAACTTTAAAAATGTGTTGAAGTTGTTCCCCAGTTGGTTGTGTATTAAATAATAAAAAGTATTAGGATTTCTTAGGCGTTTGTATTCAGTCATCATTAGAGAACAGATGGAGTAAAAAGTTAATCGACACAAAGAATAGGGCGAATCGTCAAATGCAGCTCTCTGCTTCACCTAATCTGTACAGCTGATTAGTATTTTGTTAAAAAATTATTTATCTCTATGGAATATAGACTCTGTTTGCTAACAGATACTGTTACAAATTGTGAATGGATTAGATGTAAACGGCAGTCTAGATAACGAAAATGAATAATTATCGGCCATGAGTCGACTTGTATTCCATGTAGATTAAATGCCTAGAATACCTGATAAAGTTCTGTCGAGTAAGATGAGACTATCACAGCTGAATAACGCGTTTCGGTAGCGATTAGGGAGCGTGGAAAAATCAAAAAAGTGCAGCCAATTTTGATGTTTAGAGAACTCGTACTTTTTTTCGATCAATTTGTCGTTGCGTGTAAGAGTCGCGATCAGATATTGCATATCAAGCTTTTACCATGTCTGCCATACCCTCAGGACCTCTTTCCTAATGATAAGCATGCTTTAAGTTACTTAGCTAACTAACTCAGTTGGAGAGATAGAGTCTTTTCATTGACCTGAATGTATTGTAAATGCCTACTGCGCTTTCTTACCTTCCAGAGGGTGTTGGAGTTTTTGAACTGCTTCTTAAGCTTGGTGACTTGTAGCGAAGGTATGCAAACTACATTCGTTTATTATTTTACCAACGAAAATTATTTTAAGAAAACTGATGCTTTGGTGGGATTCTGCAGGAATATTTGAGCAGGGTAATTGTGGAGGGCTTTGTTTAACCGAAACTCAAATTTGTGGTACAATTAAGGTACAGATGGTTAATATAATCTTGTGTACTTGCAGAAGTTCGACTCTTTGGTTCTGAATAAAGAAGGCATAGAAAAAATTTTGTCCACAATGATGCCTTCTCCGGCAGAAATTGAAATGATTGAAACCAAGCAGATGGAAAATCCTGAAATGCAATTGGGTCAGGCAGAACAGTTCCTTTTAAAACTTTCGCAAATTCCCTGTTTGCTTGAAAGGCTTCGATTATGGTCGTTCACACTGGACTATAAGAACTGTGAAAAGGTCTTGTAACCCTGTTTCATTAACTGTGTCACACTCCTAAACTTTGCCAAAATATTAGCTATCACCTTTATAAATATAATTTTCTTATTGCCCCTTTCTTATCGTTAAAAAAATTGATTTTTAGGATATTGCTGAACCATTAATGGACCTTCAGCTGGCTATGAAGGAAATCGAGGAATCGAAAACTTTTAGGACAGCCATGGGAATGTTGCTGACAATCGGCAATACTTTAAATGGAACAGAAGTACATCATCTTCTAAGATTTCAACCTTATTACGTTTTGTCAAGAAGATTCTTTCCCACAAAACAGTTTTCCCCTTTTCATGATTCATAGTTACTTTGTACATTTTCAGATAAAGGGATTTCAACTGGATTATCTTACTAAAGCATCCGAAGTTAAAGATCCTGTTTATAAGCACACACTGACCTATCATTTAGCCGAATATATGATTGAGAACTTTCCTGAAGGGACAGATTTGTATTCGGAATTCGGAGCCGTAGCTCGAACTGCTAGAGTATGCGTTTTTAACCTTAAGTACAATAAGTCTGCAAAACTTGCCTTCCTGAAGCTCTTGACTCTCTAATCAGACTATTTTTTCCCAATTAAGGTGGACTACGATGAATTAGAAAAGAATCTGAAGAAATTAGAGCAAGAATGTAAAGCTTCATGGGACTACCTTGCAAAAATCAGCAAAAATGATAGTTCATCGTCAATGAAGCAGAAGATAAATGACTATCTTAACGACGTGGCACAAAGAATTCACCAGCTGAAGACCATTTATAGGCTTGCTCTCAACAGGTCCGTCTTGGCCATTGACTTCCAGAACTGTTTTAGATCGATTCGTTGCTTTAACGGCATTCTTTGTAGGTGGCACGCATTTCTGCTCTTCTTTGGCTATAGCGTTAATGAGGTACCTACTCTAAAGCCAATGTCTGTTTGTAAAATGGTTATTGAATTTGCTCTGGAGTATCGAACTACTCGCGACAAAATCTTGCAACAGAGAAAACGTTTGGCAGATAAGAAGGAAAGAAATAGAACAAGAGGAGTAATCTGGGCACCACAGAAACAACAGCAACAAGACAGAAATGCAGTTCCTACTCCGTATAATTCCCGGAGAGCTCAACCAGTCCAAATGAATGCTGCTGAGGTTGTCAGCCTTCCAATTATTCTACTAAAGTTCATATGTTAATGAAAAATAAATAATTAACACCTTATGATACAAAAAGTCCATGGTGTTCGCTACATTTTTTTGAAGAAATGTAAGGAGGGTTTTAGCAACATGAAAAAATGACCGAAATTTTGACTGGAAATGGTGATGCGTGGAAAAGAACACGCGCTGCAAGGCCTAGTGGAGATTCAACAACAAACATTCTTGCGAACCGTCGTGAAAGTTGGTTTTTTTTATGGTTTTAAACTTTTGGTTTGACTTCAAGTGAGAATTCGTGACCTGCATACTGTTCTTAGCAGCAAACTGGTCTAAGTATCAATATGGTTGTTGGCGTTGGTTGAGCTATTTTTAAAAACTTGTTTATCTAACTAAAAACAATATTTTCCGATTCATATATCGTACTATCCCATCAAATTTCCAGTGCTACGATCAGTGGGCGCTGGAGAACCTAACAACCCGGGAGGTGAATCACCAGATGACGAGATTTTAGAGGGCCTTGTAAAAGCAGCTACAGTTCAAAGTGCACCGAGAGAGACACGCCGACGAGCGAGACAATTCAACCGTAAATCATGTGGGGGCTTGCTTTTTTGTATACTTCTCCTGCGGTTTTATACGATTTTAGCTCTAACAAAATCATCCCGCAAAAATGTTGAAAACTAAGGTTTAAAATTAAAACGCTAACTCTATTCAAAATGAGTTATTAGTTGTAATTATGATAGGGTATTTAGGCTTCTTTGTTCTTTATTATTTAATTTTGTTCATAGCATAGAAAAATATATAGAATTCTTTCTTTGATTTTGAAAAAAATGATCTGTTTTTGCTTACGTTTTCAGTGAGGCGAACGCGGACATTAAAATTGGCTGATGACCAGATGAATACGATGATGAGTAATGGCTAAAAAAGAGACTGAAAGAAAAGTTCATAACTGTTCAGTTCACCGTCCAGTAACAACGGCTCAGTGAAAACCTTGCTGTATTTAGATGATAGACAATACGACAAATTCGGGTATCGTAGACAACTATAAAAAATATATCATTCTATGCTACTACTACTAATACTACCACAGCTGTTACGGATACTTTGTTCCACCACTGAGGATAATTGTATTGAGCTGCTTTTACTGTTGTTATTTTGATTATCATTATTATTATTCTTTATTATTATTATAACTTTTTTATTTGTGCTTTTGAATTAGAGAGTTTATTGCCGTAGTTACTCGACGAAGTGCATTAATATTATTTATAAAAAGGAATTCAAACAATTTTGAAAAGCCAAATTTTTATAAAATCTTTCTCTTCTACAATTTTATCTTCAATTTTGTAAATATTATTAGTTGGTGCTTTCTGTTGATTAAAATGAGCGTCTATACAGACATATGGAAACAAAAAGGACAACGTACTATTAAATCAGTTTGTCCTTTTTGTTTTTTGCTGTCGAGTCAGATGGACATATATGTATTATTATAATCATTAAAATGCAAAAAAAGTTGTATAGAACTATTGTTCTTGTACCAAATGTGAAAGCCAACGAACTGTCGACGATCAGTATTTTAGTCGTCTTCTCTTCGTGAATTTTTTTTTTTTTTTGTGTCTACATCATGCCCAAATCCCTGTGTGTGTTATTGTTTCTGGACATCACAGTAGTTGTTTTCCAATTTAAATTTTTGTCGGAAATTATCAGAAGAGGGCAGCGTGCTTCCTTCAAATACAACTATTATTTCCAGCGTCTTTTTTTCCCTTCCAGTATAACAAATTTGCCTATCTCTTGAACAACAGCAACTTTAATGTTGTAGTTTTGAAGACAAATGTCTAATAATCTCCCTTTTTTTCTTCGTCTCAACATTTTCGATAATTATGGAACAACCAAGCCAGTAGTTCCTGTTCTACTCTATCAAAGTTTACTCTGGAAATGAAATGAAACATTTGCATATATACACCACGCAACTAACTTGTTTTTCCTTTTATTTTCCAGATATGTTAATGTCGTCTAGTCAGTCTTCGTTATACTTCTTTTTTTTGTGTTACTCCTTGTACCGTGTGGCAAATTCCCTTTAAAAGTTTCCTCAAATGATAAGTACTTTATTGCGGGCCATTACTTTTCTTTCTCTTTTTCTTTGCGTACAGATAACTACAATACTGCGACATTAACAAGTATTTATAATGGTTAGTGGGAAAGACAAAGGTAAAGAATTTCAAACTTATAAATAACCAAGGCCAAGGTTTTCTTGCGGGAAAAAACAAGACTCCCTCGCCTCCGTCAAGAAACAGTAAAGTAGAAAAACGGCTCACAAAAATAATTTTATTCGCCAGGTTTCAGCGACCCATCCGAAAAACTCTCGACTCGCAGTGTTGTGGTCCAAAAAAGTAACTTCCATAAGCTTCCTCCTTATGACCAGCCTCTGTATCAGCATAATATACGTTGTTCTGCATTCTAAGCTTAAACTAAGTGCAAATGCAACAGTAAATGCCAAGACAACTTGCTTTCTCCCTTACACAAAAGAAATGAGAAGTCGGATTGTGCAAGGCAGAATCAGAGCTTAGAAAACCCATTAATACAACAGTAAGATGATTCCGAGTCTTTTTCAAAAAACTCGCTTTTTCAGTAAATTTACTGGCGGACGCTCGTTCCAAAAAAGCTTTCCAGTTACACTTTTTATAAGAATTAAAAGTCAGTTTAATAGAAGATTTTTTCTAGGGACAACAATATAACAAAATCACAAATGACCTTGGCAAAAAAAAAAAA